GCGCAAGAGCTGGTGGTGATCGACAAGGGGCCCGATGGATCGCTCAAGCAGTGGACCGCGTCGAGCGTGAGGTATGTTCCTCTAACTAGCAAGGACGAGCAGCTCAGGGGAGGAGTATGATTGTAATTAGACTTTTGTAACTATCACGAATGAGAAGGCCTCTTGCTTCAAAAGTTGGAAGGAAGCACCATCAAATCTAAAACAACGCCTTTCCAGTTTTGAGAAATGCTGGACACGCCCCTTGACATCCTGGAAAGGTGGAAATCAAGTGCCTCCAAGTTACGTGGATTGCCTTCACCTTCAAACCACTGCAAGAAGAAGATTACAATACAAAACCACAAAGATCTGGTGTTTTGAGTCTCAAGTTGATCCAGAAGAAGGGAAATGCAGCTGGTGGAAGCGAAGGTCTGATTGTTCTTTCAAATCTTCTTGCAGATTATGAAAGAGGATGACAGCAATTGGCTTGTCAGGAACTGGATTGGTGACAAGCACATCTTATCGAGCCTATTTTTTCATGATATTAATAAGAATAATAAGAATAATTTATGACAGTAAAAGTAAATATTATCCTTGTTTTGAAATTCCCCCCAGTTTTTCAAAAGAGGAATAGGGTATAGCGGCCAGAGAATGCCGCTCTAGGGTTTAAGGAATGGAGATGGAGAGCGAGGCTCCGGCCGCGGCGCAGGATCTCCAGTCAGACGATATGATCTGCAGCCAGGACTTTTTATGGTATGCATTCCTTTTCCAATGATGCGATTAGGCGTTCTTGTTTTTCTCCCTTCTCACAGCACTGCCGATTATGTGACGCCCGTGGAGCAGCAGTTCACTGTGGATTTCAATGCTTCAGACAAGGTTCGTGAATGATTGGAAGGGAAATAAGAAAAGAAATCGTTTTTTTTTTTTTCCACTAGAATGCTGTGCTCAATGTGCCTGTGGGTCTGACGCCTCTACGGAGCAAAAGACCAAGAAGTGGTATGTGTAGCTTTGCTTTGACAATCTTACACACTCGCTCAGTTTTTTTTTGTTCTTCTTTGTATGTTCTTTTCCTAGATGAATATTTGAACCAAGAAGCAGAGAATGCAAAGACATTGTCTCTGCGACAGCGCGTCATGTCCCCACCATGCTTCCGGAACCCTTTTGTTAACAGTGATGTGTTTCCCGAGAGAGCTAGGCAGGGTATGTTGTTATTTTTGCATTTTTCCTTCATAACTTTTATTCTCATACAGGATGTGTCTCTGCTTTTGGTTCTTCATCGCGTTACCGTGAGGAGTTCCATCAAATCAAGGTATATGTGCTTAAATTTGTATGATTTACATTCTTACACCACTGTCAGGAAATAGGACGAGGTGATTTCAGCTATGTTTATGAAGTTCTCAAAAGACTTGACGGCTGCCTTTATGCTGTAAAGCATTCCAATCGGCGGCTGCTGAATGAGGGAGATCGGTTCGTCACTAAATCAAGAGACTATGGTATTGATTTGGCAAATTTTTCATTTTGCAGGAGGAAAGCACTGAGAGAAGTTCAGGCACTCTCGTGTCTTGGTGAGTTGGCTTTTTCCTTTCAATATTGCCACTGGCTTCTTTAAACTTAACCAGCTTCCAGGTTACCATGAAAACGTAGTGCGTTACTTCTCTTCATGGTTCGAGAATGACTTTCTGTATATCCAAATGGAGCTGTGCGAGACGAATCTACGAGACGAGAGCCTTGCATGGACATTTACGGAGAAGAAGCTGACCGAGGCGATGTTCCAAGTAAGCAGCTCAATTGTATTGTTTTCTTAGTTTGTCTTGCATGGCAGCTCTTAAACGCTTTGAAGCACTTACACTCGCATGGCCTCGCTCACCTGGACGTGAAGCCTGACAACATCTACATTCGCAAAGGCGTCTACAAGATTGGCGACTTTGGCCTCGCTTGTCGAATCGATGGCGCCATTTCCATTGAGGATGGCGACTCGAGATATCTCCCGATGGAGCTCATCAACGATGATCACAGTCACCTTGACAAAGCCGACATGTTTTCCCTGGGGGCGACTTTCTACGAGCTCGCAAGACGCTCGCCACTACCAGCGTCCGGAAGCCAGTATCAAGCCATCCGCCAGGGAAAGCTCGCTCTTCTTCCCGGATTCTCTCTTGTGTTCCAGAGCTTGATCAAGTCTCTGATGCATCCAGCAGCAAAAAATCGCCCCTCGGCTGCTCAAGCTCTCAAGAACGCGCTCTTCAAGAAGTCCTCATCAAAGGTTCTTTGAGAGGAAGGACTGAAGAGATTTTCGTGGAGGAATTTTTTCGGCAAGCGCGATCTGTGAGCTTCGATCTGGATAGGGTTCTACAAGATTAATCACCTGATTGGCAGTGATGATGACGAACTCTATATGACTGAGTCAAGCCCTTTGACTCCGTAAAAAATCCGATCCTAATATTTTATATACTTCTTGTTGTTCCTGTCCGTTCTCCTAAAAAATCTTGTTTCAGCCACCGGATTATCATAGGAAAAACCTTCACGCCCCTTATACAGTTCTGCCTGTGCACCGAAATCCACGTGGGATCTAGCAGTCTGCTCCCCAAAACCAGTTCAAAATATGCAGACATCAACTGCAACAAGTCGTCGCCTCTTTGCAACGTAGAAGCCAATCGGAGTGGCAGTTAAAGGAGCATCTCCACTCACACTTGATGCAAACCAGAGGGTACCTCTACCCTCAATGCCCTCCAGCAAGGAGGCAGCAGCGAATGCTAGTCTTGCACGGTTCTCAGCAGAATATTAGACTTTTACGGAACAAAGAGACCACAACTAAGGTCAGGTAAAGAGGAAGTGGAATTTGATCTGTTGCAGAATTCCTGCTTGATTGGAGATGGAGGTTTCCGGCAGGTCTTCAAGCTTTTCTTGAGCAATCTGGCAGCAAAGGTGGCAATTCGGCAGCAGAACGAACTCGCAGAGAAGTTCAGCACTTTCCTGAATCCCAGTCTCATTAGCAAAGAGGCAGAAGTCCTAGATCGAAATTCTCCAATTCATCGACCCACTATTATTGTGTTCTCATTTTTGCTGAAAATCTCGCCATGGCTGGGAACCCTTTGCATTTTATACATGAGGCCCGGGAGGAATAATTTTTTATTGATTAACTTCTGATAGTGAATAAAGACTAACTATACATAATCTGCTAATTTAAATGGAGAAGTGCTTCTTATTTCCTTTCTATATATTTCCATAATCTTAGATGTGCTCATACAATCTCAGGCAGATACTTGTGCTTGATTGTCAATCCAAAATTATAACACATAAATAGTCAGAATTTCAGAAGGAAAAATGTTTTGCATATCTTGAAATTTCTTTAAACATTGGAAGAATAACTTTTTAACATCACATCAATATCACTATAAAGTCTTTCAGATTAAAAACCCATTCCATGTCTATTGCATGTTGAGACATATATATTTGCCTTTTGGTTTATTAAATTTGGCATTAACCTTCTAATTCCTTTTTCTTTTCTTAGGATTTGATAGGCATTATCAAGGTATAATTTTTATAGTTACAAAAATCTCAAATTTGAAAAGTTTTTTATTGAGCATATTTAAGGAAATCAAATATGGTGGTGGATATTTTATCTTATATTTGTCATATAATGAGTAATATATATAATTTTGTCATCATTTGAACAAGATAGTTAAAATTTTGTACTACAATAAAAAAAAAATTAATTGTTATATTATTAATTAAGTTTTATTCTGTTTAACCATGGTGCCATGGTATTATATAGTAAAGATTATGGCATTTTTTACTTTGCAACCATGGTTAACATTGTTATTTGCAATGACTAATAGGTAAATGTGTTAAAGGTATAGTGGCAATAACATATAATTGTGAATTCTATTTAGAATGTTTAATGAGTTTAAGAATATTGGAGATATAATTGCATATTAAGTGACTAAAAATACCTAAAAACTAAAATTTCTCATATAATAAAATAAATGTTAAATTCTATATATTTATTTAAATAAACTTTTGGAAAGAGTTATTTGCAAAACTTTGGAAATCTTGAGAGGAAAATGGCCACCTAAGCATTTATCAAGAGCATAGTGAATGGAATATTTTTCTTTTACTCTTAAAACAAAAATTATTGAAATAAATAAGCAAAACATCAAAATTAAAATTATGGATTAATACGTACTGAACTCAGAAATTCTTCATCGCAATTCTCTTCACCAAGAAGTGGTATATAAACTGGCATATCAACTTGGACTGCTAAAGGCACCCCCTTTTGAAGTTGATCCCTTTTCCAAGAGGGCAACCATGGTGTCACTTTCCCTTCAACGCCTTTAATCACATCTAAAAGTCCTTGCTCCCTGAACTTATTAAGCCCTTTCACAAAGTCCAGTGGGTAATCACAAGCAAGTGTTGTGAGCAACTGTCCAAGCTTTTGAAGTGTGATATCTTGCTCTTGCTCATCACTTCCATCCCTAATAAACCTCTTGATGGCAATGGCATTAGCTAAAAGCATGCTTGGAAAGTTGGAGATTTGATCATCCACCACAACAACCATGCTTAACTCCCGCCCAAGCCTGGAGATATCCTTCAATCCCCCTATGCAATGTTGCCAATAAAGCCTATAAGTAAAAATTTGTCCCTCGGGATCCAGCAGTCCCAATGCAGCTTCCGCATACGCCTGCGGAGAGGCCGTCCACAAAACCAGCTCGAAACGTGCAGCCATCAACTGCAAGAAGTCGTCAACGCAGGGCCTCTTGGCAACGTAGAAGCCATCGCCCTCACCACACTGGCAATTAAAGGGGCATCCCCGCTCACACTTGATGTAAACCAGAGTCTCATCTAAATCAAGCACCAGGGTACCTTTACCCTCGAATGCTGTCGAGCGCGGAGGCAGTAGCGAGTGCTCGTCTTGCACAGCGGCAATTGTGCACCGCTGCAAAGCCACCTGAGAGTCGAAGTACCTGGATCGCTGCCCAAACTTGACGCGCAACATTCTGAAACCCTTGTTTGAATTAGGGCTCATCCAATATATTACTTTTTAGGAATGCCGAATGGAGAGAGCGAAGAGGCGCGGATCGTCATCTCCGGCCAGACTGCCGTCGCCAAGCTGGCGCTCGCGCAGCGAGAGTGAAGGTATTCTAGATTTCCGATATTTCTAGGGCCGATGGAGCGATCGTTGGATGGGGCAATGGACAGGTGTGTCGAGGGGTGATTTTGTTTTGCCATTGGTCTGTCGAGGGCGCTTCACCAGCTTGACATTGTGAATAGCACCCACTCAGGAATGGCGAGTGGATGCTACTGGATTTCTTTTTTTCTTTGAAAGAGGACTAAACTTGAAACTGTTTGGAATACACGGCTGGAGCGTTCTTGGACGAGCTACTTACAAAGTGACTCCGAGGGGACAACTTCCAATTGTTGTTTATTGCGGTGGAAAGGAACCCTTTTTCCTACCACTTCCAAGCAACGAGTGAAGCTATAACGCCATGGTTTTGTTTCGTAGGTACTTCCAAAGGAGAGCCCGGAGATTACTGCTCAAGTTGATACGGAAGTTTCCAAGGCGGGTGACTGGGACGGAGCGCTTGATATTTTCTGGAGAAAGCAGGAGATCTCTCGACTGCCAGGAGCCTCACTCGCGATGACTGGTATCGCCTCCGGAGAGCACTCTCAATCATCAAGGTAAGAATTTTGAGCGGAGTTATCTACGTGGTTTGTTCTCACGCATCTGTCAAGTTTGCAGGCATCCGAAGAACTTGGGACATAGATAATGGACTCTGCTCCAGAGAGCTCCTGTGCTGCTTTCTCTACAGGCGCGGCGTTGATCTTTACAGGGCGATTAGATACGAAGAAATGCTGGCCTGGCTGGAACACGATCAAATAGTTGGCCTGACGTGTGTTTTCATTTTTTTCTCTACAGAAAACGACGAGAGCGGTCGTGGTATGCTGGCTGAGGAGCCATGGCTGCTTCTCTGGCCATCGCATATCAACAGGTGACTCGATCAACTCTAGGCAGTCTTCATCGTACAGGCAATGGAGCACTTGAATGAGAGCCGATGCGCTGGCGGTCTGTCATCCGAGGGAGCTTCCAGGTAGCTTTGAAGTCATTGAAGCGGTCGTAGCCTCCTGATAAAAGTGGCCCTCCAGGAATTATGCCCGGCAGCAGCTGATCGCTCCGTCACGAGCCTCTCTCTCAGTGGATAGACGCTTCATAATTGAGCTCCTCTCTTTCTCTACACCCATTCAATGATTCAGAAGCCTCTCACTCAATCTTCGTTTATAACTTTGCAGCAAAGGAGCCTCGATTTCCTGTAAAGATCGAGTCGCCTCTCGCCCGAAGCGATAGCCAGGAAGGAGCTCTGGCTTTTAAAGTCTTGCGTCGCCAAGAACAAGCAAGCAACAGCCACGACCTTGGCTAAAAACACCGAGTCTGTTCCGTTGTGTGTGTGTAGGATCCTCGAGCGCTCGCATCCCTCCAACTCTGGAATGGGTCAGGGTACGTAGATCAGCATTTCTTCATTGAAGGTTAAAAGGCACTGGGTGGTTTAAATTAATCAATACTATGTTTCTGCAATTAAGCCCTTTCATTTTGGTTAACATTTCTCCTTGGTAATAGAACTAATATTTTAAGTTGCCAAAAACACAATGAAACTAGAATTACTTTGGTAAAAGTTTTCTGTGGAATTTGATAATGGTTTGGAGGGCGGCTGAGGTATTTTGACGTCAAAATAGCCTAATAATTCCTTTAAGAAGTTGTAAAGGTACATAAGATAGCTTTCCAGAATTTCTTACCATTTGTTTTCTTAACATTTCTAAATATAAAAATACTCCAAAAATAAAAATACGTTTCCGAATACTGTATATTTGTAAAGATGGCGTATAGATTTTTATAATTTTATCACGAACCTAAATATCTTTAAAGGTTTATGAGGTTCATAAGCAATATTTAGAATTTTATTTGATAATACAAACAAATACCATATTGTGCTAATTTGGTATGCCCTTTATGCAAGTTTATATGCTTGCTTACAGGATGTTTTTTAATGAGAAAAGCTGCACTTAGTAATGTAGCTTAAAGTTTGCATGTTTTGTTATGTTAAGCTTAGCGTTACCACTATTTATTGTGAAAGAAATATACTTTACTTCATAATTTTATTTTAGCAAGATTTATATCAAAAAGTAAATGTTAATAAAATTCTAGACACAAACTCATTCAAATGAAAGACAAATGAAACACGCAACCTTTCGTATTAATAATAAACTCCCTCACTGTCTATCACTATAAAGATATGGGTATTAAAATATCAACTTTTTAAAGAGATTCAAACTAAAGCCGCGTGTGAACACTACAGCCTTCATTACATTCCTCCTCAGCAGGAAGTGGCACATAGACTGGCATATTAGTCTTAGCTGCAAGAGGCACACCACTTTGAAGCCGGTCCCTTCTCCACGAAGGCAGCCACGGAATTGCTCTCCCAATGCCTTTGATCGCATCTAGAAGCCCTTGCTCCCTCAATTCATCAAGGCCTTTTACAAAGTCTCGAGGGTAATTACACGTTAGCTTGGTGAGCAACTGCCCAAGCTTTTGAAGTGTGATATCCTGCTCCTGCTCATCACTTCCATCCCTAATAAACCGCTTGATGGCAATGGCATTAGCCAAAAGCGTGCTAGGAAAGTTGGAGATTTGATCGTCCACCACAACCACCATGTTTAACTCCCGCCCAAGCCTGGAGATATCCTTGAGCCCCCCTACACAGTGCTGCCTGTAGAGCCTGTGCTCGAAAATCCGACCCTCAGGATCCAGCAGTCCCAGTGCAGCTTCCGCATACGCCTGCGGAGAGGCCGTCCACAAAACCAGCTCGAAACGTGCAGCCATCAACTGCAAGAAGTCGTCAACGCAGGGCCTCTTGGCAACGTAGAAGCCGTCGCCCTCACCGCACTGGCAATTAAAGGGGCATCCCCGCTCACACTTGATGTAAACCAGAGTCTCATCTAAATCAAGCACCAGGGTACCTTTACCCTCGAATGCTCTCGAGCGCGGAGGCAGTAGCGAGTTCTCGTCTTGCACAGCGGCGATCGTGGTGCACCGCTGCAAAGTCACCTGAGAGTCGAAGTACCTGGATCGCTGGCCAAACTTGACGCGCAACATTTGGAAACCTTTTCTGAATTAGGGTTCATCCAGCCCTAATACATCCTTTATATATACAACCTTTAGAATTTGGTTAATTAAGCGAAGGCCTTTTGACTAAAGCTTCTGTTCTATTGCCATTGTGGCAGCGTCGCCAGCGCAGGCAAGAAGAGAGCGCGGCGACGTGATCGTCATCTCCGGCCCGACTGCCGTCGCCAAGTCGCGCCTGGCGCTCGCGCAGCGGCTCAATGGCGAGAGTGTGTGCAGGTATCGCTAGATTTCCGATATTTCATGTCTCGACTGCCAGAAGCCTCACTCGCGATGACTGGTATCGCACTCTCAATCATCAAGGTAAGAGTTTTGAGCGGAGTTATCTACGTGGTTTGTTCTCACGCATCTGTCAAGTTTGCAGGCATCCGAAGAACTTGGGACACAGATAATGGACTCTGCTTCAGCTACCGCTCCAGAGAGCTCCTGTGCTGCTTTCTCTACAGGCGCGGCGCTGATCTTTACAGGGCGATTAGATACGAAGAAATGCTGGCCTGGCTGGAACACGATCAAATAGTTGGCCTGACGTGTGTTTTCATTTTTTTCTCTACAGAAAACGACGAGAGCGGTCGTGGTATGCTGGCTGAGGAGCCATGGCTGCTTCTCTGGCCATCGCATATCAACAGGTGACTCGATCAACTCTAGGAAGTCTTCATCGTACAGGCAATGGAGCACTTGAATGAGAGCCGATGCGCTGGCGGTCTGTCATCCGAGGGAGCTTCCAGGTAGCTTTGAAGTCATTGAAGCGGTCGTAGCCTCCTGATAAAAGTGGCCCTCCAGGAATTATGCCCGGCAGCAGCTGATTGCTCCGTCACGAGCCTCTCTCTCAGTGGATAGACGCTTCATAATTGAGCTCTTCTCTTTCTCTACACCCATTCAATGATTTAGAAGCCTCTCACTCAATCTTAGTTTATAACTTTGCAGCAAAGGAGCCTCATGTGTAAGCTAAAGAAGTCTTCATTGCACTTTTCACCGAAAAGTAACACGTAAATGGGCATTTAAACTTCAGCCACAAAAGGCAAACCACTTTGAAGCTTATCCTTTCTCCAGGAGGGCAACCATGGCATTACTCTCTCCCCAATGCTTTTAATCACATCGAGAAGCCCTTCCTCCCTGAATTCGTCCAGCCACTTTATGAAGTCCAATGGGGACTCCCTCACAAGCCTGGTGAGCAACTGCCCAAACTTTTGAAGTGTGACATCCTACTCCTGCTCGTTGCTTCCATCCCAGATAAACCGCTTGATGGCAATCACGTTGTGCAAAAGCATGCTGGGAAAGTTGGAGATTTGATTGTCCACCACGACCACCGTGCTCAAGTCCCGCCCCAGCCGGGATAGATCTTTCACGCCCCCTACGCAATGCTACCTGTAGAGCTTGTGCGCAAAAATCCACCCCTCGGGATCCAGCAGCTCCAGAGCAGCCTCGGCATACGGCTGTGGAGAGGCCGTCCACAAAACCACCTCAAAGTTTGCAGCCATCAGCTGCAAGAAGTCGTCGACGCAGGGCCTCTTGGCAACGTAGAAGCCATCGCCCTCGCCACACTGGCAATTGACGAGGCATCCTTGCTCACACTTGATGTAAACCAGAGTCTCGTCTAGATCGAGTACCAGAGTGCCTCTACCCTCGAATTCTCTCGAGCGAGGAGGCAGTAGCGAATGCTCGTCTTGAACAGCGGCGATCGTGGTGCACCGCTGCACAGTCACATGAGAATCGAAGTACCTGGATCGCTGCCCAAACTTGACGCGCAACATTTCCAAGAATTGGGGTTCTTCACGCCCTAGTAAATCCTTTATACAATACAATCACAGTAATAAAAGGAGGCTTTTAACTAAACCCTCTTTCTTATGAGTAGTGGGGAATGCCATTGTGGCGGCTTGGCGCTGTGGAGAATGAGCGCTAGTGGCGCGAGCAAGACGAGAGCGCGGCGCGTGATCGTCATCTCCGGCCCGACTGCCGTCGGGAAATCGCGCCTGGCGCTGGCGCTCGCGCAGCGGCTCAATGGCGAGATTGTGAGCGCCGATTCTGTCCAGGTATCGATAGATTTCCGATATTTCTAGGGCCGATGGAGCGATCGTTGGACGGGGCAATGGAATGCAGGTGTATCGAGGGCTGGATGTTGGAAGCGCCAAGACGCCCTTGGAAGAGCGAGAGGTTTGTGGAGGTTTATTGGATTCCAGCAAGAAATTGTGTGTCACTGGTCTGTCCAGGGCGTGCCGCATCATCTGCTTGACATTGTGGATCCCACGGATGGTGAGTGGATTCTTTTTTTTCGTTTTCTTTGTTCGTGGAAAGAGGACTCAACTTGAAACAGTTTAGAATACACGGCTGGAGCGTTCTTCGATGATGCAAGGCGAGCTACTTACGAAGTGACTTCGAGGGGACAAGTTCCAATTGTTGTTGGCGGTACTGGTCTCTACCTGCGCTGGTAAGGATCCTTTCTGCCATTTCAGCAAGGAGTGGAGCTATAACGCCATGGTTTTTGTTTCGTAGGTACTTGAATGGTAAGCCGGGTACTCCGAAGGAGAGCCCGGAGATTACTGCTCAAGTTGATGCGGAAGTTTCAGCTCTACAAAAGGCGGGTGACTGGGACGGAGCGCTTGAAATTCTGGAGAAAGCAGGGGACGTCTTGACTGCCAAGAGCCTCACTCGCAATGACTGGTATCGCCTCCGAAGAGCTCTCTCAATCATCAAGGTAAAGAGTTTCGAGCGGAGTTAGTTACGTGGTAGCGTTTGTCGAGTTTGCAGGCATCTGGGCAGCCAAGAACACGATTCTCTCTGGGACAAAAACCTGAAGCTAATAGCGACGTGAAGGAGGATATTAACTCTGCTTTAGTTACCGCTCCAGAGACGGACTACGATTTCCTGTGCTACTTTCTCTACAGGCGCCGCATTGATCTTTACAGGGCGATTGATGCGCGATGCGAAGAAATGCTGGCAGCTGGTAATGACAACAAGATGATGATCAAATGGCTGGCCTGACGTGTGTTTTCTCTTTTTTTCATTTTTTGTCTATAGAAAACGCCGAGAGTGGTCGTGGTATCCTGGCCGAGGCGTCATGGCTGCTAGATTTACGAATCCAACCAGGCTCAAGCCCGCCGTCTCGGGCCATTGGATATCGACAGGTGACGCGATCAACTCTAAAAAATCTCGGTTTCTTACCGCCTAACCCGTCATCATCGTACAGGCAATGGAGTACTTGAATGAATGTCGATGCGCTGGCGGTGTGTCATCCGAAGAACACTTCCTGAAATTTCTCTCTTCATTTCAGCAAGCTTCCAGGTAGTCTTGAAGTCATTGATGCGGTCGTAGTCTTATGATAAAGGTGGCCCTTCCAGGAATTATGCCCGGCGGCAGCTGACCTGGTTCCGTAACGAGCCTCTCTTCCAGTGGATAGACGCTTCACAGCCACTGGTAAGTGAGCTCCTCTCCTCTTTCTCCACACCCATTTAATGATTCGGAAGCCTCTCACTCAATCTTCGGTTATAACTTCGCAGGAGAAGATCCTCGATTTCCTGACGGATGACTTCTCCAGGCCGGCCGACGTAAAGATCGAGTCGCGGGTGGTCCTCTCGCCCGAAGCGATAGCCAAGAAGGAGCTCTCGCTTTTAAAGTCTTACGTCGCCAAGAACAAGTAAGCAACAACAGCCATGACCTTGACTAAAACACCCAGTCCGTTCCGTTGTGTGTGTAGGATCTTCGTGAGCTCCAGCGCGTGCATCCCTCCAATTCTGGAATGGATCAAACGAACACAAATTCAAGCATCACCTTGTCAGGATCAAGCGACAAACTCACTCGCATTCGCCGCGAGCTGAAGTATGTCCATTTTACATACACAGAGAGAGTACACAAAGAGAAGAGTTAGTAAAATTACCAACAATATACAATGCTTTCTCTCAAAAACCCGGACAGTTTTTCTTTCTTCGTTCACTCCACTGCTCTCACTCTTTTCTTCTTCTCCTTTGCTTATCATCACAGTTCTTCGCGAGATCTTGTCACTCAATCGTTGGTCAAGGGACGAGCCATGCAGCCGCAGCGAAATCTGGCCTTGCCAACCGAGTGCACGATCTCCGCCCGAGCTTCCTCGAGCATCTTGACCACCTGCGCGAACCCCGGCCTCGAGTCTGGGTTTGCGTCCCAGCACCGGCTCATTATCTCGGCCAGCGCCGGCGGGCAGTCGGCTGGGATGCCCGGCCTGTATCCTCGGTTCACCACCGCAAATGCTGCCTGCACGGCCGTCATGTTCTGGAACGGTAGCAATCCTGTGATGAGCTCCCACAGCACAATGCCAAAGCTGTAAACGTCCACCTTGTGCGTGTAAAGCCTGTGCTGGATCATCTCTCTGCAATGAATGAAACGGTTAGTGAGGCTTTGAAGTCTAGCTATGGAGGAAGAACACGAAAACGCGAAGAGAACGAAGAGAGAAATGCGCTTACGGTGCCATCCAGCGATACGTCCCGGTCTCGGGCGTCATCCCCTCGGTCTGGACCTCGATCCTGGCCACGCCAAAGTCGGCAATCTTGATCGACTTATCGGTGGCGATGAGCAAGTTGTCCGACTTGAGATCCCGGTGGATGAATCCCAGGTTGTGGAGGTACTGCATCCCCTGCGCGATGTCCAGCGCCTGCTTCACCGCCAGCTTGAGCGGCACGGGCCTCGACTTCCGCTTGCTCAAGAACGAGCGCACGGATCCGCCCTTGGCGTACTCGGTCACGATGCACCACACCAGCGGCTTCCGGCACGCCCCGATGAATCGCACCACGTTCTGGTGCTTGAGCGCCGCCAGCATCCGGACCTCCTGCGTGAACTGCTGCTCCATCACCTGCGCGCGCTCTGCGTTGTTCTTGGGCCGCTCCAGGATCTTCACCGCCACGTCCTCTCCGTCGTAGGTCCCCCTGTAGAGCCGGCCCGACGCGCCCTGCGCGAATGCGTGGCCCATGGCCAGCCGCCGGAGATCCAGCGTCCAGTCGTCGTAGCCCTCGAGCCCCTCGGTGGGCGAGCGCGCGTCCATGAGCGCATTGGTGAGCACGTCCTCGTCCGTGGGCGGCGGCGCGCCCACGGTGCTGGGGTGGACAACACTGTAGGAGCCCGTCACGCTGCGGTTGCCCCGCTTGATCCCCAGCTCCGGGTGCATCAGGATCGTCCTGCTCGACCCGTTAGAGCCGACGCTGCTCTCCGCCGCTGTCATCGTCACGGATCCACCGCCATTGCTCGTGTGGAGGCTGGCGACGCTGTCCACGGACATGTTGTCCGACCCGGCCGCCAGGCGCTCGTAGTAATCGTCGGCCGTGAAGCCGTAGAAATTCCCATTGAGAGCTTCCATCCTCCCGCTCCCAGATCTCTAAAACCCTAGCCTCGATCCGGCCCCGAAATCCCAACGCGCAGCGCGACTTCTCTGCTGCTCGCTGCCGCCGCGGCCACTCACCTCGATCCTCTCGCATGGCCAGCGGCACGCCGCGCGCGCGGGCGAGAGAGACGCGCTGCCGCCATAAACCCTAGGAGCTAATCGCTAAAAGAGCGCCTGCAATTCGCGCTGGCTCGCGTCTTCTAGTCGCCATGGCCGGAGAGACAAACCAGACATTCAAGATGAATACGCGTGAACAGCAGCTGACACGTGGCGGTTGTCCTCTTGCTCTCGAATATTCGGCCCCCTGTGCCCTAAACGCGGCGGTTAGCTTAGAGATCCCCTTTAGCTTTAATTTAATGTGGCTTTGACTTCCAGTCAATGACATGGCATATGCTTCTCTACTCTAGCTAACTAAACCCCGGGAGTGAAGTGGAAAAGCAACTTCCTTAAGCGAGCTCGCGAGAGAGAAAGCGATGGGTGTTAACTAAGTAATAGTTAGAGCACACTGTACTTACTAACTAACCCACGCCACTCCACTGTCACTACGCTATAAGCAGCTACTATGATGGTGGCAGTGTGGGCCGTTTAGAAATGGCTCTTTGCCTTCTCCTTCTTCTTCCACTTCCCTAAAGCTCTTTTTTGATCTTCTTTCTTTCGAGCTCCTCGCTTTAGCGCGCCTAGCTCTCTTCCGGGATCCAAAGATTAAATTAGCTCGATGTACTGATGTATGCTCTGGAATGGCGACGCAGCAAGATTTCGCTGCCGCTGCTCCTCCTCCGCCTTCTTTCCTCAAATCTTGGCAGCAGCGCGTCGAGGAGCTGGGATTGCTGGCCATGGCCGATCGGACGGGGAATCGTCGAAATATCGGTGGCTTCTCGCAGGATATTTCCGACGATCGAGGGAAGAGTGAAGTAGCGGCGGCGGCGACGGCCTGGAATGGAAATGATCAGGTCGAGCAGCGGCATGCAAGAATCTCCGCCAGGGACTGCCGCCTCGATCTTGGCCTGGGGCGATTCCTGGACGAAGTCCGTGGCCGGGATAGGATCCGTGGCATTCTTGGCGGATCGATGATCGATGGCGGCGGCGGCGTCATGCATCCAACCAATCCGCGAGATTCTCCTCCGCGGAGCCATCCCAAGCGCAGCCGGAGCTTGGGCCTGGTGGAGGAATCGAAATCGGAAGAGCAGCTCGATCCTCCAGCGCCAGATCGTTACGCCAATCTCCCGCGGCCGCCGCCGGCGATCAAGAAAGAAGAAGATCGTCCATCGCAGGAGCTGGGAGGATCATCGCCGCCGTTTGCATGCCTGGAATGCCGCAAGCGATTCCCATCCGGTAAGGCCTTGTCTGGTCACATGAGATGCCACAGGAGATTTCCAATGATCTTAGGGCAAGGAGGAGAATCCTCCGATTCGTCAGGCTCGTCGTCTCCGCGAGCTCTCGATCGCGACCACAAGATCGCCACCGCCGCCGCCGCCTCGAGCTGGATCGACAAGGCGAAGAATCCCAAGCGAAAGATCGACGCCATCGATCAGGAGGAGGGTCCTGAGAGCAGCGACAGCATCGAGGCGACGTACGTCGCGGCAGCGATGGCGATGGCTGCCGCCACGACGATCACAGGCGAGGCAGCAGCAGCATCAGGCCCAGTGATCCCGCCTGGAAACAAGAAGATAATGACGGGACGGAGATCCGGCCGCCGCTCGTTACGCCAGAAGAATCGCTGGCGGACTCATGTTCTTGCCGCTCCAGCTGACATCAAGGACGAGAAAGATATGGCCAATTGTCTCGTCATGCTCGCGGGCGGCGGCGGCGGCGGGGCTGGTGACACCGAGACGATCAGGCGGGCATCCTCGTGCGCGTCAGTGGCTGCCGACGATCATCATCGCCGAGCTCGATCTCCGCTGGATCCAAAGTTGCTGGCGGATCTCGATGATCAAGGTGGCGAGGAAGTGGACTGGGTGCGCGCAAAGTCTTCCTCCTGCCGGACTACTGCTACCTCGGCGGCGTCCGCAACAGCACCAGGGAGGTACTCGTGCGCGACGTGCAAGCGTGTCTTTAAGTCGCATCAGGCGCTCGGGGGCCACCGCGCCAGCCACAAGAAGGTCAAGGGGTGCTTTGCGATCAAGACGAGCAGTAGCAGCAGCAGCAAGGCAACGACGACGCTGACCACTCTTGACGATGACTGCTACGATCCGGACGAGGAGAACCGGTACCACCCGTACGAGAAGCAGTACAGGGACTCCAGTCTCTCTAACAGATCTCTGGCAGGAGGACACGAGTGCTCGATTTGTCACCGAGTGTTCGCGACCGGGCAAGCGCTGGGAGGCCACAAGCGCTGCCATTGGGTCGGGGCAAGTAACAACAGCAACAATCCGGGTACTGCCACTCCTCCTCCTGCTGCTGACAGCAATCAGGTACTCAGGGTCTCAGCGTCCACAACGACGACTGATAACGACAGTCCGATGGTGTTGGTGGCAACTGCGGGTGATAATTGCGATCGTGATCGTCGCCCAGATCATTCCAGGCGGAGCAGCAGGCACCTGGAGCTGGATCTCAACTTGCCACCGCCGCCGGAGGACGGGCAAGGATCTGAAAGAGGGGCAAGAACAGAGACCACCAGATCTTGCGATAGTAGTAGCTTTGGACTCATTGCTTAATGCTTAATATAAAGCTCTTTGAGCCTGAGTAGTTTCATCGCCACCTTAGGGCTAGCCAGACGTTATCAAACGCATGGGCACCCACGGTTACATAAGCTTCCGCTACAAAGGTGTCTACTACTGCATCTACAATGACTCCAATTTGGAGGTCCTCGGTGAAATGATCGCCGACTCTCTGAAAGATCATTCTGTCCAGCTCTTGAAATTCTTGATTGATCGTGCAGTGGTATTCCAGGTGAGAGTTCTCTGACACCCTCTTGCTGTGTGTAAATTTCCATCTGTAGTTTGAGAACGTGGAGTTTCCATCACCCGAATTCCTGGACCACGTTTGCACTGCTGCCGGGTCACAGGAGATACGGAGAGAACTTCAAGGCGGGAATCCTTGGGGCAATCCCTGGGATCTTGTCTCCCTTGGACTTTCAAAGCTCTGCTACCGTATCCTTGAGCTCGGCTTTCTCCAGTGCAGTTTCATGTTACTATTTGCTCCTCGGACAACCTATGTCCACTACACTTATGTCATCGATCTTGACACGGCCAGCTTCACCATCAACACGAGCGATAACATTGTGTCCTTCAACATGGAAAACATACCACATAACTGGATGGATTGCACGTACGCCCCCCCAGAATGGATCGCTCTTGCTGGCTGGGATGACCGAGTTCTGCAGGAGACGATGAATCGAAAGCTGAGCAGCCGTGGTCATGAAGCTTGGAATATCATACTCGGCCATCTTCTACTCCAGTTTGACCACTGTCCGTCGCTTGTTGATCAGTGAGAGCGAGAGCGAACCTGACGTTGAGTTCCTGTTTGAGATGATTGAGAGTTTGAGGCTGCTGTATGAGGCTTTCACTTGCGCTCAAATCCCTTCGTCATACGTGATATTTCCCTCAGCAAAACTCAAAGCGATCGCGAACAACGTTCACAGTGG